CCAAAGCTAAATCCTCAGCAAAAAAACAACAGCCTTAACCCACATACTCTGACTTCCTCTTGCTCTCTTTTTCAAGATCTCTGCCCTCACAAATCAAAAGTATTCACACTTCTCACATCTTATATTTCTGTAGCCTCACAAAACACAGAGGTGAATAGAAACACAATTCTGCATGACTTTACTGAAGGACAGGCTGTCATTAATACATGCAATGTCAAATTGCCAAATTTACTCTAATTTTGCCAGTTTATCCAAGTCCACAGCTTAACACAACCTACAGTAAGTTTGCTCACTTTGCTGGGCTGAGTATATCTGCCAATTGAATTTGTAGTCATATTTACTAATTTACAAGGCTGGCCTTGCTCTAAAGGTATAATCTTTTTTTTTTTTTTTTTTTTAAGACAGTCTCACTCTGACGCCCAGGCTGAAGTGCACTGGCATGATCTTGGCTCACTGTAACCTCCACCTCCCAGGTTCCAGCGATTCTCCTGCTGGAGCCTCCCAAGTAGCTGGGATGACAGGTATGCCACCACATCCAGCTAATTTGTGTATTTTTAGTAGAGATGGGCTTTTACCACGTTGGTCAGGCTGGTCTCAAACTCCTAACCTCAAGTGATCCATGATCCACCCACCGTGGGTCTCCCAAAGTGCTGAGTGACAGGTGTGAGTCACCCGCCCAGCCTAAAGGTATAATCTTATACTAAATTCACTATTGCTTCCACTTAGTGGGACTCAGGCCAGTTGTCCTATATAACTACAATTGCCATTTCTAAATGCCTATAGATGGGGATGACTGGGTTGTACAAGTTTATTTCAAATCAAGACAGCAGTTGTGATCAAAGGGAAGAATCACTTCATTTCCTTCTGGAGAAGGTGAAGTTACCAATCTTAGAAAAGTCAACTTCTCTCTAATTTGGGTTTTACTATTCACACTGTCACTTAAAAAACAATAAAGGTAGGCAAGTGGATGAATGATCCGTTCCTGCTTGAGACTGAATTGAAGATATTTAATCAGTGTTAGAAGTCTAACCATATAAAAAGGTAAACACTTCTTTTTTTTTTAAGCAAGGATTTTCCAGAAAATGAAGAAGATTTATTAGTTAAGTGTTATTTTTCTACTTTTGTGAATGTATATATATATATATATATACACACACACACACACACATAGCAAAAAGAATAGAAAACTACACTAACGTTCTTGCAGTATTGTACCTTAAGGTACAACATACAAAATTATGTAGCTTTTTATCAATTTCAAGTTTTAAATTATCTAATTATATTATTTTTCATCATAAGTACTACATTTTTCATATATAAGTTCTATAATTAATTTTTAGTAATAAGAAAAAATAATATATATCCCAGTACATTTAAGAAATGCCCTCTCTATAATGTATCCAATAAAAATATGAGATAAAAATTATGCAGAAATAGAAAAAGGTTTTTGTAACATGCAAAGGAACAAAAAGCAGATTATATGTAGCTCAAGTTAAACATGCAATTGTCTATATGTGTAGACAAATCTAGGAAACTATAAATAAAATTAAAATTTTTTACATTATTGCGGTGAGATAATGTGTAAATGTAGTTTTTAAACATTTGCTTTTTGTTTCACATTATATGGTCATTTTTTCTATATTTACCTATTGAAAAAGAAGAAGGGGATGGGTTCACTGTCCTAAATTTGGTTTCAAGTTGCTTTTTATCAATTTCAAGTTTTAAATTGTGTTATTTTATTTTTCATCATAAGTGAGTAGTCTTTAGTACCTATTACAAAAGATGTGCTCATCAGGGGACTTTTGGGACCCAAGATAATTCAACAACAGCAATTAACTTACTAGGGGCTTTCAAGGGGGGGATTTCCTTACTTAGGTTTCAGACCATCTCTTAGGAAACAGTTATTCTCTCAAACTGGCAGTTTTACTGTAGTAATTTGGTATCCCTAAAGCATTCTAGTAGCCTTCAAAGAGGTTCCTTTGAAACACTGACACTTCTATGTCAATATCAGAGTATTCAGAAGGAAATTACTTGTCCAGTATCTCAAAGAGCTTACTCAGAGACAACGTCCAAATTCCAGTTATTTTTTGCCTCTAATTATTTCATCTTTTTCCTTCTCTGAACTCAGTGCAATAAATACATTTTTTTTCCAAATTAAACTCTAATTTGCTGTTAAGAGTGGTAACTATTTCAGGCATTTAACATTAGAGGATTTTTCATTCGTCTTACTGTAGCTGGTGGTGGGGATGCTGATGGTCTCCATTTATCAATTACATTTTGCTTGCAAACCTTGCTGTTATTTATAAATTTGTATTTTTCCATTCTGGTTGTAAATGTCTTAATTTACATTTTATCATTTTGTTATGTATAAGACTTCTCAAGTCTTTTGTGATGTAAGTACAGCCCATTTAAAAATGAAAATAAATAGTCCACGTTCATTAGGTTGGCTTAAGAAAAAGTATTACATTACAAATTAAACTACAAAAATTATTAAATAGTTTGTCTTGGGTTGGTTTAAGAAAAGTGATGAAATTACAAATTAAATAACTGTTCTTTATTTTCCCCACAAAACTATTCTGTCTGATTACTTGTAAATACACTGCTTTATTTTCCAAAGGTCTTCTCTTTTCCTTTGACCATAAGATAACCATTCTGAAAAATGTAAAGGAGAGCAAACTGGCTGTCCAGTGATTGCCTGGCCAATGTCCTAAAGAATACAAGGCAGAAACTGTAAGGGTCATGCACAATTAAAAAAAAACCTACCCACAGCTATTTCTCCAACAAATTTGTAAAGTAAGTTTGACTCTTTTCTGTCTCCTTTAGAAATTTGCCAGTTATGAGATTTCAAACTTTTTTACTCTAAGTGTCAGAGAAAAAAACACTCAGAAATAGGAAAGAGAAAACACACACCAGGAAGGTTAGAGAAGGAATGAGAAAGAGAAGAAAAAGCGGTTAAGGATGGGGGTTTTTCAGAGGACTACGGTAAGAGAGGAAAAGCAGAACACAGCTCCCCACCTTCTAAGTCCAAACCATTAATAGAATTAAGCAAAATTTGCCTCTTTGTTCCAAGTAATTAGCACTTTGCCTCCATTTTATTTATTTTATTTATCGCTACTACTAAGAAAGCACTGTGTGAAGGCATAAGCATTTTCTGGAGACACATGAGGTGACTTAACAGTCACCAAATATCTTTAAGAATAAAGGCCTAATGTTAGGCATGTCGTGGATGCAAAACCAATTTCTGTGTAACTAAATTACAAGAGTCATATTAGAGGAGAGGAGTGGAAGATAGGCTGCAAAACGTAAACAAAATGATTACTTAGGTGATAGGGTTGTGTCATCTGATTTTTATCTTTGACTCATCTGCATTTATAAATTTTATTTAATAAACCTTAACTTCCTAGGCCATAAATCCTATACAAATATTATAAATTATACCTAACTTATGGGTATTATAATATGTATATATACATAAATATATGTTTATATACGCCTGTGTGTGTGTGTGTGTGTGTGTGTGTGTTTGTGTGTTATTCTTTCAGAAAAGCAAAGTTTTCTTCGGGCTTTAAACATGCAGCCTCTGGTAAAGGTGCTATTGGTACAAAAGTTCAATAAGCATAGCTCCAGGTTTTGAAGATTTTCTTACACTTTTCTAATACTGCTGTCCAAGAACTAAGAGATTTTCAAAACAGCCACTGCAGTCGTGCAGTGGTTAATAACAAGGGAAAGAAGGGTGTGGTCTGACGTTAAATAAATGGTATTTCAATTTTGATTCATAAATTTTCTCCAGGGAAGTTTCTGGAAAAGCCCAAACAATATACATTATTTCTGAAAGGAACAGAAGGATGTTTTTTAAATCATAAAATAGACGCAAACATCTCAGCCTTTTTCTTTCATCTCTTGGTGTAATCTGGATAGTAGATGCAATCAGCAAACAGCCTGAGTTTTGGAATTAGATCTGAGGTCAATCCCAGATCTGCCATTTACCAGCTGTGTGATCTTGGCTGAGTTACTGACGCTCTCTGAACCTCATTTCGCCATCTGTAAAATGGGGATGTGGTCACCTTCCCCACTACATGGTTCTTGTGAGAATCCACTGAGACCACATTTGTAAACACTTTCCTCGCTATACCGGGCACTTGTTGGGGCCCAATAAATAAAAATTCATAGACTCTCAGAGGCTTTGGAACTCCAATGAACCTCTTGAATCCATGTCCCGTCGATTAGCCATCTGCAAGTTGGCATTTCTGAGCGAGGGACTTTCCAAAACAGGTTTATCAAGTTTCTTGGCCAATAACAGTCCCCCGGTTCTGTGCGGTGGGAACCAGTACCACCAACTCCAGCGGGAGACCAAGCAGAAACTACCATGGGAATGCAAGTCAAGAAAGGGAAAATAAGAAAGAGAAGGACAGAAAAACAAAACAAAATAAAACCACTCAGGCAGTGACCTTCGTCTTAAGGAGAGGAATTCCCAGAAGGGAAACAAGACGGTTTCTTTTTCTAGGTGACAATAAAAAAGATAAACAAGCCTCCAGAAGCTCATTCAGCCCCCATATAGCTTTTTCGAGAAAGAAACGGTGCGGTTCTTCCGAGTCCTCGGGTTTAACCACTGCCTCGAGGCTGACTTATTTCCTAAGTCTGAGAACTGCCAGAATATGAGCAGTATCTGCTCTGAAGGCTGCAGGCTCTCTCCCTGCCCCCGCCGGGCGGCGCGCACTCACCCACCCACCCGGGCCGGGGCAGACCTTTGGCTTGGCTTGCCAGGGCTTGTCCGGGAGTTGCGCTCCCCTCTCCGGCGAGGGTCCCCGTCCAGCCATCCTAAAGCTTCCCAAACTCCCGCTTCAGTTCCTGTCCGCCCCCCACGCCCACCTCTACGTGGAGCACAGTGGTCTCCGAGGAGCGCCGGAGCTGCCCCGTCCGCCCCGTAGGGTCAGCACTTCGCATCCAGGCCCAAGAAAAGCGACTCCTCCAGCGTGCAGAGCACGGGCCCGAGGAAGGTCCTAGCAGCCCCCGGAAGCCAGTCTGTCCGACGCCTCCCGACCAGCCCGTCGCTCCCCGACGCCGGCGTGCGCTGCAGCCCCGCACGCGTCCCGCACCTGCCCCACTCTTTGCCTATCCCCCGGGACTACGAGACCGGGTAAGCCTCCACCCGGGCTAGAGAGGGCTCACCAGAGTTAGGAGGGTCCAGAGGCAGAGCATGGTTGTGGAGCAATCCTCCGAAGTGAAAGCGCCTCTCCAACTCTGCGCAGAGCGGGTCACCAACCCGCAGGCCAGGGTTGGCCTCCGGGTGTGTTCCGTGCCAGGGCCCGCCCACGGCGCCCCAGTCAAGTCACTCGCAAACCGCTTCTCTGACTCCCCAGAAGTGTCTTTGAACACCTGTGTGTCACTCTTCCGCGAGATCAGAGCCGACCTCACGAAAAGCCCCCGTGGTCGTGGTCGGGAGGATGAGAAGAAAGCCTCCCTGGGGAACGCCCCGTTGGGGGGCGGGGGCTCCCTTGATTCAGCAACTTGGCCTGCCTGGAGGTAGGGAGGGGGAGAAGCCAGGGTGAGAAAGGAGTCAGGGTTTGTTGCACAAATGGGCATTCCCCGTCCCAGGGCGTTCCCGCAGTGACTGGCATGCTCAATTTAGATGAGGACCCTGAGAGCCTGCCTGCTGCCTTTTCTTTTTTATTTCTATTTTTATTATACTTTAAGTTCTGGGGTACATGTGCAGATCGTGCAGGTTTGTTACTTAGGTATACACGTGCCAGGGTGGTTTGCTGCATTTATCCCCATCATCTACATTAGGTATTTGTCCTAATGTTATCCCTCCCCAATCTCCCCACCCTCTGTTATCCCTCCTCTAGCCCCCCCCCCCCCCGCCACCCCATGACAGGCCCCGGTGTGTGATGTTCCCCTCCCTGTGTCCACGTGTTCTCATTGTTCAACTCCCACTTATGAGTGAGAACATGTGGTGTTTGGTTTTCTGTTGTTGCGCCAGTATGCTGAGAATAAAGGCTTCTGCTATAGTTCAACCTAGGAAGGTTGGGAGGTCTTGAAGGAGAATGGAGCTCAGAGCGCACGGGTCCTGCCTGGATGCAGGAGCCTTGGCTAATTGCTGGAGTCAAACAGAGGAAGACTTACAGGGCATTTGACTGGGCTGTCCATGTTGTGGCTGCAACGTGAGAGGCTCATGGATGTTCCTGAATAGTGTGTGGATGGACAATTAACCATTTGGAAAAGTGAAGATATTGCACCATAGGGTTTTGTAAAGGGAGGGCCCCTTAATCTTTATTTATCAAGAGGAAAACAAGCTAACAAGGCAAATCACACAGCCCCAGCTATATTAAACAGTCATGATTACTTCCTGTCCTTCATTACTCATTATTTCCTGGCCAATTTTCTTAAAAAAAAAATCTTGTAATTAGTGCTCTGGTGAACACTGTTCAAAGTCACTATTGTTTTGGAAAAGTAGATAGCTCTTAGGTAGCTTTGCATGAATTTTACAGAAGGTATGTTTAGATAATTACATCATTACTGAACCTGAATTTGGAAGCAATTCCAGACTGGACACACGGAAGGTTTCAGTATTCCTTTGGCCTCCTCCAGCAAGCTCTGTACCTCACGCTGCTGCCTCCTTCCCTTCCCAGTTAGATTCAACCCATTAATAACACATTCATAACCCTTTGCTGCTTGGCCTACTGTTCATCCTTCAGGCTTCCTCTTAATTGATATTTTGTTCTGGAGCCTGTTCAGGCCTCAAATCTAGGTTAGGTTACCCTCCTGAGTGCTTTCCATCACCCTGCGTTTTGCATCATCTGTCACTGCACTTACCTCCAGTCTTGTAGGTATTGATTGGCTTGTCTCTGTCCCACCTTTCAGTAGACTGTTAGTGCCACGAGGAGGACCCTGGGTATGCCAGTCTTGTGCACACACTCTGAGCATCTAATAGACACAAAAAGAAGTGGGATGTGGGGGATGGTATATGGGCATTCTCTGTATTATCTTCGCAACTATTCTGAAATCCTAAAACTATTCCAAAATAAAAAGATCATTTAAATTTTAAAAAATTATTTAAAAAAGGAAGGAAAAGAGGTGGGAAGGAAGGAAAGGAGAGGTAAGGGAAGAAGGAATGGAAGAAAGGAAGAGAGAAAAAAAGGAGAAAGGGCAATTGACAAAATCAGTATCTCTAGAGTGTGAATTATAAGCCATACTGATCTTCCTTACTTAATGCTTATCATTATAGCCCCATGAGGTAATTGATTATTAAATTTACTTTACCAAAAAAAAAAACAGTGTAGCCAAAAAGCTTAAGCAACACTGGCAAAGTTGGTTAGCTAATAAATAGCAGAGTCAAGAATTAAACTTAGATATTGTTGCTCCCTAGGCCCTGCTCTTCCTATGCCATGCCCATTTCTCCTACCCCCACCCATGTACATCTAATTATCCTTAAGTTCAGTGAGATAGAAATCAGTGCTTTGTGGGGAGAGATATGTTCCATGGTCAAATAATCTTAGAAAATTCTGAGTTAATTTAATTTGAAAAGTTTTCTAACTCAGAATTTCTCAGGGCCTTTAATATGCTATCATCAAAGCGGGGAGGTGTAATGATATATACTGTTCCCCAAACTTCTTTGTCCATGGAACTCTTTGAAGAATCTATTGAATGAACACCTAATAAATGCTGGTATTCTGGAGAAAACAATTTGGGTATCTCTAAAGGTTATTTTTATTTTACCAGCATATTTCTTAGAGACCTCAGGCCTTCAAGGGCAAAGAAATAAAATTTTAATAATGAATTTGAGGCACTCTACCAGATGTTAGAGATATTTTAGACAACCATCCTTATTCCAACTATACCATATAAGTTAAAGCTTGTTTCTTCAACTCAAAAGACACCTTGGTTTCCGAATATTCTGAATAACATTTAAACAAATATCTGACTATGTAAAAAACTAGGAGGGTTAAAAAACAAAACAAACAAAATCATCTACATCTTTTTACCATTAAGGCTTTTTTTTTTCTTTGGACCTAATGTTTAAAAAATTGTTGTCAACAAAATTACTTTTACTAAATAGGAATAAGTTGATTTTAATAACTCCCAACTATAGTGGATATCCATGATTGTTTATCCTGCCTTTCTCCTTCTTCCTCCTGCTAATAGTACTTCCAAGTTGCCTTTAGAAAAACTGTCCCTCTCCCTTCTTCTTAATTATTTGATGTGAGTGTTTTTTTTAGTCAGAGTTCTTTAGAGAAACAGAACCAAGAAAATGAATAGAAAGACAGAAGATAGATAGATAGATAGATAGATAGATAGATAGATAGATAGACAGAGAGATAGATAGATAGATAGACAGACAGACATTGGCTCATGTGATTGTAGAGGCTGGCAAGTCCAAAACTTTCGCATTGGCCAACAGGCTGGAGATCCATGGAAGAGTTACAGTTCAAGTCCAAAGGCAGTCTGCTGGCATAATTCTCACTCTCACGGGGGAAGTCAGTCTTTTTTTTTTTTTGCCTTCAACTAATTGGATAAGGCCCATTGACATTATCGAAGGCAAATGTTTTACTCAAAGTGTAATGATTTAAATGTTAATCCCATCCAAAATATAGCTTTACAGAAACATCTAAGACAGTGTTTGACTAAATAGCTGAGAACTATGGGCTAGCTAATTTGATACATAAAATTAACCATCACAGTGGCATTGTTAGCAATCCCAAGGCTTGGGTATAGATGTAGGTGGAAGAAGGTAGTGGGTGGGAAATGTGACTTGGCTTAAGCCAATCAACACATCACATTCAGTTGGAGTAGATCTTGGGACCTTTACTTGAAAAACTCGGACACAAACCCTTTCTTTTCCATTGGATTTGAAGGAGAAACATGTGAGATGTTAAACTGATGTGGTTGGTTGTGAAGGGAGCTTGTGGCCCTGCCAGAGCTGAAAGCAGTCAACTCATGCTGAGAGGAAGCCACGCTGACAGGAAATCATGCTGAAAGATAAAGGTTGGTAGAGCCATCCAAGTTCTGGATGCATTTAATTGAACCCTGGACCACCCATAGTTACCCAACTCTACAAATTCTCAGTGTTTACTTAAGCCAGATTCTCACAACTGAAAAAATCTTACCTGATAAATTATCAGAACTTTGATTAGTGTAATAAATTTTTTGTTACAAAAGTGAATTGTTACAAATTAGCTATTCTAGTTTCAAGTTCAAGTAAGGATAATTGCCTAAACAATTCTGTAGACTGCTATCTAGGGACATTACTTCTTCTACCAAAGAATTTTTCTATCACTAGAGGGCATCAGAGCCCACAGTGGCCAAGTGACAAAATCTATTAATAATTGTTTCTACCAATTAAGGGAAATACATATGGGTTCTTGGGAAAGGAAGAGAGAGGAGGGAGATCTTAGATTTGGATACGTAGTCTGTTAATCTAATCATATAAACATTTTCACCTCCCAGAGAACATATTTCCTACAGGATTAAAGAAATAATGTATGCAAAGCACCAAGTACATGCAATAAATACTAATTTTTACTTTTACATTGCTTTTCCTAAATGGAGTGTTTTTACAAGACAAATTGATAATTTGGAGTCACAGTTCAGATGGGAAAAAGCAAGTTAAATGGCTTACAACCACTTTTCCTGCACTACTTCCTTCCTGTACGACTTCCTGTATTTACTCCTTCCTGCACTACTTCCTTCCAGTGCTTCTCACTTCCTGTACTACTTCCTTTCTGTACTACTTCCTTCCTATACTACTTCCTTTGTATACTACTTCCATGCTCACATTCCTGAAGGCTGGGGCAACACAGCTCTGGGAAAAGTGTCCTGAAGCCCAACCAGGGCTGGAAAGCTTGGCCACCAAGGTATGGAGCAAATTATAAAGTTTCTCAATTTTTCCCACTATAAAAACTGGTATACTAACCTACCTCTTGAGCAATGGCTGAAAAAGACAATGCATTAAAGAATGTTTAGACTGTGGCAACTAAGAAGCAGAGAACAATTGGGTTAGTAGGATGAAAACAGCTGTTCTGTGGGCCCTGGCTTCTTAATCCAGTTGAGTACCCTTCCCCTGACATTTTGGCATCTGGTGGTGCCCTGAAAACACAGATATTCTGTGAAACTAAACATGAGAAGCATGCCTACCCCCCTACCCCCAGGTGTTCAGAACTGACACAAAGAAAGATAGGGACCATTTTTCTAGAGGTGTTGATTTGGGGCAGATAAGACTTAGTCTTGAGTGGGCTTAGCTTAAGGTGATGTTTCTTCAACCTCAGTCTACCTTTTGCCATTTCTGTAGTCTACTTGCCTATAGTAAATATATATTTAACTAATACATATTTTTAAATCAACTTATTTTGCCCCCTAAGTCATTATGTTTTTAAAATAAAACATTACATTATAACCATAAATGGAAAATCAGCATTCCTTGCCAAAAATAGAAGCTATCCATAAAAATAAATATGCCACTATTGAAATAAAGTATTTGCCTGCATGCCAATAAAAATTGTTTCCCAAACTACTAGTGGCAAGGGCATTCTACTTCTGGAAAGGTTGGCTAAAGGTATGGCAGTGCCTTCTCTCTACTTTAGACTTCCTCCCTGCCCCCAAACAACCTCGAGAAAAGACTAGCTAGTGTGGGCCTCAGGCCCTCCCCAAGGGACTGGAAGGGAGGTGACTGGAAGGAACAAGAGAAGTCAGAACAGCATGAGGGAGGGGCGGTCATTGTCTCCCAAGCCCATCTCATGCCAAGGGAGTGGGATGAGGGTGGGGGACTCTTCACCAGGGCACCAGCCTTTCCCTGTTAGAACAGGCTGAGGGACAGCTTGAGGGAGATGGTGGATGGGCAGGGAGGACTACAGGGAGTCCTGCAGAGATAAAGAATGTGGAATGGGATGTTGGAGGAGAAAGGGCAGGGGAGCCAAAGAGCAATTTAGAGCCCAGAGCACTTGGGTAGAAAGCAGAGGTAGATGGTTTTCTGCAGAAGGCAACCTTAGTCGACTAATACGATAGTGGTAGTATTAATAGCTAGTTTATCTGAGAAAGGAGAATGAGGAGAAAGAGTTTTGATTTGTATAATCTGTGCATATGATCATGTAGGCATTTTCCTCTCCCTGAGAACACCCCCAAATTAGCAACTTGTCCTATGAAGGATAGAGTCCCTAGATTTGAATCCTAGTTCAGTTACTTCACTAGCTGTGAAAAGGTGTGCATAATATTTAACCTCTCTCAGCCTCAATTTTCTCACCTGGTAAACATAAATCTTTTCAAGAGTAAAAATTTGCCCAGAAAGATTCTGGGAGATAAACTTGGATTTTGTTATTTTATTTATTTTATTATTTATTTGTAGCAATTTACCATGGCCCCCTAAAGACCATCACCAACACCTTTTATAGGTGGCAATTGACATAGGACTTGCCTATATTACCAACTCAATGCCCTTTTATTTACCTATACTGCTTTCCTCCTCACTAGGTTAGAGAGTGTAAGCATTGCCTGCAGCCTCACATCTTGGCTTCTTCATGAAGAATACCACGTTTTTCAAACTTTCCAGAAGATAACTATAAAGAAATCACTGGGTCAGGTTCTCCCCTCCCATGGTCTCCCATTATTGGCTCGGATCAGGTCTGAAGGTGAGAAGATGTCTCTCTCTTTTTCTCACTCTTGCTCTAGCTCTTGCTCTTGTTCTCCCTCTCACTCTGTCTCTTCCTATATGACTTGGCCATTTAGACAGGCCCAGTGGTTTCATGAATAACTAAACATAAGAAGTCAAGAGAGGCCTGGCTCAGAGAGCACGAACCACATCAGACTTTTGAAGTTCCCTTAGTGTATCAAAGCAAAACAAAAACCATCTCAAACTGGTTTGCAAACACTGTGGGATATCTTGTGTTTTCATATAGCAAATGGATGCATTTAATACTTAGAACTTAAATGCAGAATCACGTTTGGTGCTAGTGTTATGTGCCATTTGATTTATGGCACTAGTGTGCTACTATCATTTGAGGCCCTTAATGGATGTGAGGTGTAATCCATTTCTACTCACTCTTGATAGATTCTGACCTATAGAGGCAGAAAAATGGGGTGGGAGAGACCTCTGGGACCACGAGATTAACACCTTCCACTTTAAATTAGACACTTCACTACAACAGTCCTAGGAGACTATGCCAGCCTTAGCTTGACTCCTTCCAGCACTGGCTCCTCCTATTTCCCAAGGCAATTTATTACATGTCAGAACACTGCAGTGGTCAGAAATCCTCTCGATGTTATACTTTCCTATAGTTTGACAAGTGTTTGCTCAACATCCACTATACAAAGAACACTACTTGTAAACAGAACTGGAATAGCTCTGTGAAAATGAATGATAGTAACCCTCCCCTCACCCAAGATAGGAAGAGGCATTTTACTGTCTGAAACCTCCCCACAAACCCTACACAAACTTGCATTTAAAGAGTTTTTCATCCAGGCAACAAGGATAACTAGGCAGCCTGACTCTATGATCACAGTAAACTGAGGGAGAAATTGAGACTTTTATCAGCCTTTGCACTGAGGAAAGACACTAAGCAGGCATTCCTCCACCTGGCTTTGAAATCCCCTTAGAATTTCCTAGTCATTCAATGGGTTTATCAAAGTTCTTTCTGAAATTTCTTCAAACTTCTTTTTATTTAAATCACACAAATATGTTGAGAGGAATGGTCTAAAGAAATAGACATTTAAAAATAAACAAAAATAAGGGGCCAGGCATGGTGGCTCACACCTGTAATCTCAGCACTTTGGGAAGCCAAGGTGGGCGGATCCTGAGGTCTGGAGTTTGAGACCAGCCTCACTAATATGGTGAAACCCCATCTCTACTAAAAATACAAAAATTTGCTGGGCATGGTAGCAGGCACCTATAATCCCAGCTACTCGGGAGACTGAGGCAGGAGAACCACTTGAACCTGGGAGGTAGAGGTTGCAGTGAGCCGAGATTGCACCACTGCACTCCAGCCTAGGCAACAGAGTGAGACTCTGTCTCAAAAAAAAAAAAATAAAAAATAACAGTAATATGTAATGCTTATATAATGCCCAGAACATTTGTGTGTCTGTCTTTTTTTGTTTTGTGTACCTGTTAACTTACTTGAACCTTACAACTCCCTGTAAAGTAGATCCTGTTACCATCCTATTTTATGGAAAAGAAACTTGGAATGACTTGCTCCAAGTCACACAGTTACAAGGTAACAGAGGAGAACTTCCAAAGCCCATGCTGAATCCATTTCCACTTCAAACAATTACCTCAGTGGCCTATGATCAAGATGTAAACTCCCCAAGGAAGTACAAAGCCTTCTTGTTTTGTCATTCTGTTGAACACATGGTTTCCTGTTGATTAGCAACATACTCTTGTCATATTATTTGCTTAAATTCCAGGTCATATTGACTAAGTTCATAACAAAGTGAGCTAAGGGAACTCCTCCTTGCACTGAGTGTTAAGTAAGAATTTTTGCTTTTTATATCCATTCCCCTATCTAAGAATCACAGCTCACATAGCCATGCAAATTGGATTGAAATAAAGATACTCTAATTAAGATAGTGTGGCCATAATGCCATACTCTAACTCAGTGCATTTCAAACCTCAATATGGATATAAATTACCTGTCAGTATTATTAAGATTCTGATTTGGTAGGTCTAAGAAGTGCGAGGTTATGAATTTCTCACCAGCTTCCATGTGATATTGATGCCACCTTTTGGAAAGGACACATGAAGTAGCAAGAGTCTGGCCTACTCAGGGAAACTACCCCATCGGTCCAGTGGTTTACCTCAAACAGATAAGGACGAACTAACCCATTTGTACCACTTTGGTCATATGTCTTATTATTAGAGCACTTCTTCAGTGGTAGTAAATGGGAAATGTAGGGAAATCAACAAATTCAGTAGTCTCACTATAAACATATTTGTATTCCGTTTCCATTTAGCTTAATATTATACTACTTAGGCTGAATTTTTACTTAGCAGAAACAAGTCTGATTTGACTACATAAAAACAATTTTCTCTCAAGAAAAAGAAAAAAAAAACTTAGTTCATTTTAAAAGACACTGAGTTTTTATTTCTGTGAACAGCAAGAAACCTGGCTAGAAGCCTGCTGATTCCCTCAGCCAATCAGAATAATGTGACCATAAATGTCCATGAATTCCCCCCTCAGTGAATCTCTGCCTTTTTTTATTTCTGCCATGGGGACATGTATCTTACAGTTCTGTCCCACATATTCTGCCTTTTATGTCTTACTTTCCTCTTTTCTAAAAACATTTAAGCTCGGTGAGATCTCTCATCAAATAATCCATTGTCTTTTATGTTATGAGCTGTTAACTTCATACACATGCAGGTTTTAATTGCTTCTTAATGGTAATACCTCTCCATTTAGATCACTTAATATGAGCTGGGTACCATTCAGTGGGTTTTATAAATGTGATTTCATTCAGTGCTCATAAACATCTTGGGAGGTAGGTCTTCATATTGAGTGCACTACACAGGTGGAACGACCAGGGCCCAAGCACTTGAAGATCTTGCAGTAGTCACATGACCAGTAAGTTCTAGAGCTGGGATCTAAACCAAAGCAACTGCTTTTCACATTTAACAATATGCTGCCTTCTTGAATCCACACATACCCGTTAATAGAGCACTCACTATGTGTTAGACCTTTTTATATATATTAACTCATTTAATTATCATACCCACACCTATGGGGAAAGAATAACTTTCCTGATTCACATAAAGAGGTAACTCTATCAAGTTCATGTGTCAAGTAAAGGTATCAAGATTCGCCTGACTCTAAAGCCTGGCCTCTTTGCACAGTATCATGATAATTCCCGTCTTTTTAGTGAATAGGACGGTTTGCCTCATGCTGTTTTTTCATAGAAAGCCCATCTGAAACCTTTACACACACCCAGGTGTAGACTGAAACACGTGGTGTCTGGGACTGGGTCTAAATTACTTTGCTCATCCTTTTACCCACCATTTCCCCCATCCAGCCTCTTCCACTCCCCACAGTGTTCCCTTCCCAAGACATGAGGTGTCTCCCACCCTGCCCACCCCGCTGCCTGTGGCACTATTAACAAAGCAGCCATTGGACTGAATTGGGAAATGTCCCTCTCTTGACTTTGGTTCTTCCCCTGTCCTAGGATCACACCTCTTCAATTTGCCTTCCTTTCCATGGAGACTAGTCAAGACCTCACCCAGAATGAAATTTACTATCAACTTTTCCTGGTGTGAATACAGCTAAAATGTATCAATCACGAAGATGAAAAATGAAGCAATGACCAGTCCCTTCCAAAAAAAAAGAAAAAACCATTTCTCTCATAACCTGATGGTTAATAAGTGGCTAATATTTATTAAGGGTTTAACTGCACTAGAAAAGTGCTTTATGAATACAGTGTCTGATTTGATCCTCACATGATCTTAACATCTAATATTATCCTCATTTTATACATTAAGAAACATGGGTTGGGTGAGTTTAAGTAATTTGCACACAGCTAGTATGTGGTAGAGCTTGGGTTAGTATACAGATCTGGAGGCTCCAAACTGAACACTCTGTGGACTGATCCCACTCTCTCTTGGATGGTGCTGGGTCTGCCCTTTGCTTGTGCTGACCTTCTTACAGCTGGCCTCCCCAGGCCCTGTTCCTACTCTGTCATCCACAGGTCTCCACAGTCCAAATCTCATTTTTCATATAAGGCAAAACCAAAGCCTCCTCTGACTCACTTTATCCCTTTGTGACCTTTCCAAATTTAGAATTTTCTCAGCACTTTTGAGAACGGAGTGAAACTGATTTGGCATTTGGAATCTGGGAAAATCATCTCTTTCTTCTTAAATTTACACATCAGATAAATCCAGATTCATTCAGAATTGAACTCTCCCATTCTTTCTTATCATTTCTTTTTAACTGTACTTGACTTTATATGGCATGAATCTTTTTCCTAATCATAATGCAACTTGCTCCAGAGGGGGACATATTTGCCACTTCCTTTGAATGGAGGCTTTGAGCTTAAGTCTAAGATCCCAACAATTTTCCTTAACTAAACGAATACTTATGAGTGCCTACTTTGTACCATGGATTGTGTTAGGCCTCAGGGAATAGCAGTAGGCAGGATAAGAACATTTCTTGCCTTCCTAGACTCTACACATTACTGGGGATGACAAATTAGAGTAATTATAAGCATCAGGTCTGGCCTCTTTGCCTGGGAAACGCATCTCTCTTTTGGCTCACCGGACACCACAGTTATGACTTTTGTTTATCCCTGGCTGTTGCTTCCCTGCCACCTTCATTGTGGTTATATTCAGTGTCCTGATGCTCAGTCCTCAGATCCCCTAGCTTCAAAGATGGCCTGAAGTGTCAATCATCACCTTTTCCCAAATGCTTTTCAAATCTATACTTCATGCCCTGACTTACTTAGTTTTACACCTAAAGTACATTATGTTTAATTCCTGCTCATGTTCCATACCACCTTGAATTCTTATCATGCCTAAAACTGAACTATTTCATTTGTATCCAGACTAGAAGGGTGGGAAAAATAGAAGTGGTGAACAAAACTTAAAAATTAATAAATGAAATAAAATTTCAAGTGGAAAGAAGTCTACTTTATCTTCTGGCTCATCTGGCCAACTATAAACTTTGCAAATTAGCTTTGCCTTTTTCTGCATCTGTCAAGCCCCATAAATAGCTTCAAAGGGCTGAGCACAGTGGCTCACACCTGTAATCCCAGCACTTTGGGAAGCTGAGGCAGGCGGATCACCTGAGGTCGGGAGTTCAAGACCAGCCTGACCAACACAGTGAAACCCTGTCTCTACTAAAAATACAAAATTAGCCGGGCCTGATGGCACATGCCTGTAGTCACAGCTACTGGGGAGGCTGAGGCAGGAGAATCACTTGAACCCGGGAGGCAGAGGTTGCGGTGAGTGACCCGAGATTGTGCCATTGCACTCCAGCTTGGGCAACAAGAGTGAAACTCTGCCTCAAAAAAAAAAAAAAAAGCTTGGAAGCTCTTTGAATGTAAGAACTGTATCGTCTACTATTCCATTTTGCCAGGGTGTACCACAAAGCCTTTGTAGGTGCCTCACACATGTGTGAGGAGGAGTGTGGTGAGGACAGACACTAGAAATGACCTTTGCTGTTGCTCTCTGGATCCTCCTGGCATTTGATTATAGAGTCAGGACTAAACAGATGGCTAGGAAATTATA